CCCGGGGCCGCGGCCGCGGCCGCCTCGCCACGGCGGCGGCGGGCGCGTCCGGGCCCGGGCCGTCGTCGCCGGAGCCGTACCCCCCAGAGTCCGACGACGGGCTGGTGGAGCTCCCGCTGTTCCCGCTCCCGCTCGTGCTCTTCCCGGACGCCACGCACGCGCTGCACATCTTCGAGTACCGCTACCGCATCATGATGCACACGGTGCTGCAGACCGACCTCCGCTTCGGGATCGTCTTCGCCGGCAACTCCGGGTCCGCCGCCGAGGTGGGCTGCGTCGGGGAGGTCGTCAAGCACGAGCGCCTCGCCGACGACCGGTTCTTCCTCATCTGCAAGGGCCAGCAGCGGTTCCGCGTCGCCCGCGTCGTGCGCACCAAGCCCTACCTCGTCGCCGCCGTCCAGTGGCTCGAGGACCGCCCGCCCGCCGAGGCCCCGGCACCCGGGGAGGACGCCGAGGCGCTCGCCGCCGACGTCGAGACCCTCATGCGGGACGTCATACGCATCGCCAACCGCCTCAACGGCAAGCCCGAGAAGGAGGTCGGGGACCTGCGCAGGGGCCTCTTCCCCACCCCCTTCTCCTTCTACGTCGGCAACACCTTCGAGGGCGCGCCCCGCGAGCAGCAGGCGCTCCTCGAGCTCGAGGACACCGCCGCCAGGCTGCGCAGGGAGCGGGACACGCTGCGCAACACGCTCAACTACCTCACCGCCGCCTCCGCCGTCAAGGACGCATTCCCATCCTCGCCGTCTTCGGGGTGAGGTGAGGTGAGGTCGTTACTCGTCAGCTGGAATGGATGAGGATAAGGAATTTGTGGTGGAGGGTATAGGAAGTAAACTTTGTTATCACTCTTTGAAGCCCCGTTTTCTTCCTTTTCTCTTATTATATTTTCTACTATGTCTAGGTTCTATCTGCATGTGGTTAGCATTTTAGCGTGTAAAATTGTATAATTTGGTGTGTGTCAACTCAAGAAAATCTGGAGCTGTGATATATAGGTCCTTGGTAAGGATGGGAATTTTGCTCTCGGAGAGAGACTCATGCTTCTGCCCCTAAATTGGAGCTGAATTGAAGCCAGTACTTTTACTCATTGGTCAACTGTTGACTCTTGATTTAAATAATTGCCAGTACCTGTAGAATGTTTTAATGGAATTTTATTGCCTAGGGAAGTTAGGATGTGCACTGAAGCAGTAATAGTTGCTACTGATCCGCCTTCATCATGATATTTGCAAATGGTCCAGGATAGTTCGGTGATGCTTTTCATAATCATGTGCCTTTTATCATGCAACCGATATGAAAGCATTATGAGGTTCTGAAAGTTTTCTTTCTGTCTGAACCTTGTTTTCAACCTTTTTCAGATGCATGTTAGAACTGTATGTTTTCCCCTAACATTGTCAAAGTGAAGTTATACTTTGCTCCAATGAAGAAGTTCTACCTAAGAAATTCTTGACGTTATGACTTGGCATCAATCTATCCACCCATCTACGGTTAGGTAAGCATGTATACTACGATAGAGTTGATTACATGATGGCATCAGAGCAGCTGAAAAAAAACACCAATATTTGTAAGGAAGTATGTTTTCTGCATTTCAGGTTCTCAATGTTTCTCTCGGATTTACCAAAGCTTTGAACCACTTCTCTTCAATTTGATGCTCTAGATGAGTCTGCTGGTCCAGACGTGGCAAGAGTTTATAATTGCGTCATTGAGGCGACAAATATTGAATCTGAACTCTAGATTACTTATTTCAGTCTATGTATTCTCGCTGTGCTTCTAGTTTTAGTTTCCCGGGACATAATACAAGCGTTCTTTTGCATAAAGTTGGTTGCGTAAAAACTAGTTCTTCTGACTCTGTTTGAAACTGATTAACTGAGACAAACCTAAGCTGCGTCGCCCTGTTTGCTCAAACTTATCAGCCATGGTACAGTGTTTATCTCTGACAACAAATCAGCTTCCGCCGGTTTATCAGCCGCAGAAACCATCAGCCGAACAAACATAATTCCGTAAGATTATGAACCGATATGACAAGGTCAGTATCTCCGAGCAAAAGGTAACATGGAGAAGGGTGACCAGGGGCTGGGGCAACTTTCAGATATCACTAGAAAAGATGGGCGCGGCGTTGCCGCGCCAGCTTGGATTAGCCCATGGCCCATCTATGAGTAGTTATTAGCAATATTGGTGTATGTTCTTTGTACTACGTGATGGTAATTCAATGGTATTTCGTCTGTAAAAGATCAAAAAACATGTCTGCAAAAAGATTGACCTGTGGACAGCAGTCTGCAAATAGTGAGGTTCCACAGTTGCTATTAGCAACGAGCTTAAAGATAACATAAGCTGAAATAACGAGGTTCTAACATCCTTAATCAAGATAACATGGTCTTTTTTTGACATGGAGCTACTCCTATATATAAGGCATGTAATGACATCAAATACAAATATTGAAACTATTAAAAACAGCAATGCAGTATTAAGCAGGTGGAAGTAGCAAGGATTTGATTTGATGGTACCATCCACTGATTTGTACTATAAACTGTGAGCATGGATCGATGTTAAAATAACCAAGTTAATATGGGGTAAGAAAATATTCTTTCAGGTCCAGATATTGTACGCTTCACAGTATGAAAAAATGAGACCTTGTCCTTAGTACCTTGAGGAAATCCTGTTCAAAACAAGCATATAAAGAGTGGCATGCCTTACATTATGTCTAAAAATGCAAATAAAGAATGAAATAAGAATTTCCTACACTAAAATGATGAAAGCAATGAATGCGGCAGCAAAGGCATTCCATTCTTTGTTACTAAGATCACATCACATATAATGGAGTAGCTGTTGGAAGTATGACCCCATGTTGTTTGTGTTCAACATAGTATGCTTCTGTTAAAGATAAGAACGATTTGCTGAGGTTTCCAACATAGCCATAGCTTTGATTTAGTTGGGTTAAGAATCTTTTTTGCTGCTGTTGTTCTTGGTGGCTCCATTCAGAAGCAGAAAAATGATTGATACTAATGATCCTTTTATTAGATTTTTATCTTGCCATCTGTAACTTGGCTCTATGAGACACTCTAAAAATAAATACACAAAGCAAGGATATTCCAATGATGCATGTGTTTGTTACTGCAGTCTTTCTTCAACAATCTCTGAAATGAGACCTGTCGAAAATAAGACTGTTACTCATCTGAAGAATAGTTCATATATATTTTCATATGGATGATATCTTGGTAAAGAACTGAAGATTTTCCAGAGATGTTCAGACATCAAACCTTGAAGTTCTTGATTGGGGTATGTCTGTTAAAGAGCTTTCCAAGGGTATGGAATTGTTATTGTTGCTACTCATTAGGATTCAGTAGCTTTATGAACAAAGATATATTTGCCAGGTTCAAAAAATATTGGTAAACTGAGAACTGAGCTCTAAACATTTACACTACGTATGTATAAAAGAATAGGAGAATGATGCTTTGCGTTATTTTATAGTACAAATAAACAAAAAAAGGTAACTGTCAGCCCATGGTGAGCCTGCGTGGATTGCACAAGTACTTGTTAAGGTGATTTCTATCAAATGATCTCAGTTCTAATATTTCTCTAAATGTTCAAGTTAAAAAATCATGCATAGATACTATTGATGCAAGCAGTTGTCTAGCGAAGCACATTATATGAGCACAAAAGAACATTTAATTACCAAGGTAAGTGAGATAACTTTTTGCCCGTCCTGTCTAATGTTGATCATCTGGTGTTCCGGCATTGCAACAAGCTCATGCTCCTCAAACATAGAAGGCAAAGGGAAGGTCGGGAAGGGGTCAGGTACCTTGCTGCCGCCGACGCTGCCAGTGAGTTGCTTTGGTTGAGAGTTTGAGAAGATGATTCTGTGTTGATGCCGGCTGCGACACCAGTGTTCAAATAATATTGGGAAAAATCCAATAGAAGATTCCGAATTGAGGATGCGAGCAAGACATGGCCAAGGATAAAGTTGTCACCTTGTTCTAGGCATGTATGATCGAGGACAGCCTTGGAGGCATTTCATCAAACAGCTGCAGGGCGTCGTCCATGTCGGCGGCTGCTCCGTCTACTACTCTACTGGAGCGCTGGCCCGTGCTGTTCCACCGGCTTTGTCGTGCGTCTTGCTTTTTGCAGCTGGAGCTCATGGAGCTCACGATGGTGGTGTCGAACATGCGGTTCCTCGGGCCGCAGCCGTAGCTAGGCAAAAGGCACTAACAGGCAGGACTGGCGGCGTGAGGTCGTCATGTCCGGCGCCGCCCTTTCGCCGGCGCCGCTGCCCCACGCCAAAACCAGCGCTGGTGATCCGCCCCACCCCGCGCCCCACTCAATTCGCCGACGATGAGTGGATGAATGTGTAGTAGCAACACCAACAGGTCCCCCCGCACGTTTGTTCTAAGGACCAGGATCTCTCCTGAAGGATTCGGGTCGGGTGGATGAGGTCGGCGAGCGGTGCGGCAGGCGCGGACGGCTTGGTAAGGAGTCTGGCGTCCCGAGGGGAGGAAGGAGGAGTGGCGTCGGCCGAGGGCGCAGCAAGGGAAGGGTGGAGGGCAGAGGCAACGACGAGCCGGAGACCGGCGCCGTCTGCGACTCGCGCGGCGAAGGAGATAGGTCGTAGCTCGACTGCCCGAGCGGGTTCACGAATCTTCACGAGCGCCTGATTTTTTTCCTTAATGGGCAATAGACCCGCTATGATCCGCATCGGACGGTTCACGTCGTGAGCTAGCTCGATCTGATGGCTAACAAGTTAGCAGGCGACGTGGCCTATTCGGATGCCCGAGCATGGATCAGGATTCGAAAGGAAGAGATAAAATGCATGCCATGAAAGTGAAGCTGCCAAAGTTCATCGTTAACTCAGCAGAATGCACGATTGGAAATACATTGAACAGGGTATGGATAAGGCTGACGCCACTAACTCAGAACATGACAGGCAAGTAGTGCCACGTCTACAATGACGTCTAACATGCTGGGAACCAACCATTGCACCAGGCGTGGCGACACAAACCTCACCGTGCTCTCCTCTAATGGAACCGCACCCCGCGCTCGTTGAACAGCCGGAGCAACCGCTTCAGCTCGTCGTTGGATACCTTCGATGGCCTTTTGCCGGCGAGCTCGGCGGTGTCCAAGGCTCCGGCAACCCTCTCCTTGAACGCCGCGACCTCTTCCTCGCTGAAACCAACCACTCTGTTCCTGCCATCGTCGTTTCCCCCACAATCATCCTCGCCACTGTCGCCGTCAAGCGCACCGAGGCTGGGACCAGCGGCACATCCCTCGCCTCTCTGCGACTGTCCGAACAGCTCCGTAACCATCCTCTTCTGCTTGAAGATGGCGCCGAGGGTCTTGTTCTTCTGCCCGAAACACACGCGCGTGAACGCCAGCCACTCGCTGACGTCAACCCCTGGCGCGATGCCCCGCGGCCGGATCTCGACGAGGGACGAGTCCACCCGGGGCATGGGCACGAAGTCCCTCTTACTCACGTCCATGAGCAGCCTCACGTCGGCGACCAGGCGCACGTTGGCCGCCAGCCGGTTGTACTCCCCGTCGCCCGACGTGGCCACGAGTCGCCGCGCGAACTCCTTCTGGAGCAGCAGCGTCGCCGTCCGGAACCGGTAGGGGCCGAACAGCAGCTTGGCGATCAGCGGCGAGGAGATGCCGTAGGGGATGTTGGCCACGCAGACGTCGAACTCCGGGAACTCTACCTCAACGGTGTCGCCCGCGATCACCTACCAAACGGGAGGGAGGAGGAACCGTTGTTCAGTCAGCAAGCATTTTTCTTTTGAGGCATTCTATCGATCGAGTGGCGGGCGGGCGGGCGAACCGTCAGCTTGTCCGCGAGGCCGAGAGCGGCGGCGCGCGCGGTGACGGCCTCGACCATCCGCGGGTCGATCTCGACGGCGGCGACGCGCGCCGCGTGGGACGCGAGGAGGCGCGCGGTGAGGTTGCCTGTGCCGGGGCCGACCTCGAGGACGGCGTCGCCCGGACTGATCGCGGCGCGGAGCGCGATGGCGTCGAGGACGCGCGGGTTGGTGAGCAGGTGCTGCCCGCGCGGCTTGTGGAGCCGGAAACGCCCGTCCCACGCCTCTGACGCGGACGCCCCCACCTCAGGCGACGACGAGGTGGCGGTGGTGGTGGTGGTGTAGAGGTAGGCTTGGCGGACGGCGCGGCGCGCCCAGAGAGCGGAGACGGCTCGCTTCATGACTCAGCTCAACTCCAACCGCGGCGAGCACTGTCTGCTGGAGAGCCGCAGTGCTGCTTGGCTGGCAGGCTTGTGCCGCCGCGGATTCGAGGATATCGTTGAGCTATTAAATTTTTAATATTACGGAATGGTATGCACAGAGGACACAAAGTTTATACTGGTTCGGACAGAATGTCTCTACATCCAGTTCGTTACTACAGCTCGTGTTATTAACACTGAAAGTTCGTAGTAGGGGTTATAAACGGTCGAAAAAAGAATGGGTTCCTAGTCTTTGGTGGTGTGTTACGATGAGTTCTGATCGGTTCGGATTTGAGTTGAACTCGGATGTGTTCGGATGCGGGATCAGACGTTGGTTCAATGTGATCGATTCGAGTCCCCTTAAAGGGACGTCCTACTTTTTTTTATAGACCAAGGGAAAGCACTGGTTACAGCCAAGAAAAAAGAGGAAAATGAGATGGAGAGGAAGTCCTCCAGAATCGTCGGGTCTTTTTTTTCCTTCACACGGGTCCCGCCGACCATGTAGACGTCAACAGGGACAGCTCCACGTCGCGGCCCTGTCCGTCACTGGCGCCATGCGCAGGCGTTGTCTCCCGGTCGTGGCGCTCCACTCCGTCCTGACAGACGTAGTGGTGAACTAACGCGCGTGTTAGTGTTCATACGAGGGTTAGGCAGAACAGCACTGGTACGCCCAACACTGTTCCTGATGTGAATCCATGGCCCGTCACGGCCACGGGTTACATCGAGGCATGCCAGTCTCTTCCCTGACGTCAGAGCTTTGACCCAGGCCCATACGCTTGGACTTGGAGTGGTTGGCGGCGGTATGGGTCTCCGTTGGAAGAGGCAGAGCCCGCGGCCTCGGAGTCTGGCGAGACGGAGTCCTCCCCCAGAGGCCGGGCGAGACAGAGCGCGGACCCAGGGGTCGGGCGAGGCAGAACGTAGATCCAAGGGCCGGACGAGGCGGAGCCCCTAGCCTCGGGGTCGGGCGAGGCCGAGTCCTCCCCCAGAGGCCGGGCAAGGCGGAGCGCGGGCCCAGGGGTCGGGTGAGGCGTAGCCAGCCCTCAGGGGTCGGACGAGACGGACCCCGTGGCCTCAGTGTCGGGTGATGCAGAGCCAACCCTCAGGGGTCAGGCGAGGCGGACCCCGCGGCCTTGGTGTCGGGCGAGGCGGAGCTAACCCTTTGGGGTCGGGCGAGGCAGAGCCCGCGACCTCGGTGTCGGGCGAGGCGGAGCCCAACCCTCAGGGGTCGGGCGAGGCGGAGCCAGCCCTTAGGGGGCGGGCGAGGCAGACCCCGTGGCCTCGGTGTCGAGCGAGGCGGAGCAACCCTCAGGGGTCAGGCGAGGCGGAGCCAGCCCTCAGGGGTCGGGCAAGGCGAACCCCGCGGCCTCAATGTCGGGCGAGGTAGAGCCAGCCCTCAGGGGGCAGGCAAGGCAGACCCCGCGGCCTCGGTGTCAGGCGAGGCGGAGCCAACCCTCAGGGGTCGGACGAGGCGGAGCCACCCTCAAGGGTCGGTTGGAGTTGTAGTTGCGCTCTTGACTGCTCGAACGAATTAATGTTGATGGTTATTAGCTCCTCTTCGGGTACCCTAGTATTGGTCCCCGATAGTAGCCCCTGACCCTGTGGAGGAGTAGAATACTCCTTCGGAGGCTTTTCCGAGCGGGAGGATTCTGAAGGCCTTGGCCTTCTTTTGTCGCCCACAGTGTGACCTGGGGACGGTGATTCTCTTTTCTCGAGCCCCCTCCCGTAGCACGGGCCTAGTCGAGGATCGGTTCGTCTTTGCGATTATCTTCACTCAAACGTTTTTTTTTTTGAAAAAACGGAGGGGCCGAGCCGTGTCATGATTTTCCTCTAAAGACGAATCATGGCATCCGGTGAGCTATTAATGGGCTAGTCTGAGTGGGGCCCCCGATATCCCGTTCGCGGGGATCCGGCTTGGGTCAGCTTGGCGACTGACCCCAGATTCTCAGCGGTCAATCCATATAGTTCTCGGATCCGTTCGACCGGTCCCGAGGGCTAAGTACCTTTCTTCGAAGAAAAACCACGGATCATAACTGGCCGAGACTCGATCATGGGCCGGGATGCCTGCGGCGCTCGTGCGCCCGGGTACTAGCTGCTAGCGGGGCCCATCCCTTTCCACCTCTCACCCTGGAGGTGCCTGGAGCGGTTGTCGAGCCCGTCGATGGGCCGACCTACGAACTTCTGGGCCTAGGCGGGCCGTAGAGGCGCTTTTAGGTCCGTATTCTTCTTACTCATGATGAGTCATGGCCCGTCTGGAGAGTCAAAACGTCCGGTGAGTTTTTTGAGGGAACAGATAGAGATCGTGGGCGCACGTCCCATGGTGGGACATTGTGGCAAATCGTGACAGGTGGTTGGTTTCCTCGCATCTGTCGCCCCTATAAAACCAAATGGTTCGCCTCCTGAGTTCCATACCTTGCATATTTTCCTCCGCCACCACGACCGCCCCCATGCTGTTCATAGCTTGATCTGATGACCAAGGATGGCATCCTAGGCTTGCCGGCCGACCTAGGGCAACCCGATGACGTCCTTGTCCTGACGGGGTCCCTCCCGGGCGAGAGCTTCGACGGTTTCTTTGCTAGTTTGCCTAAAAACTAGCCGGTTCTTCGTCACGTAAGCACGTTGGTTATCCTTTGGTGGTTTGCTTGTAAACCTCTCTGTTCTTCACCACGAAAGAGTGACATCATTGCTGCATTATTCGGTCTGTAGCGGCTCGGGCGTCAAGGCCCTATTGGTGTTTGATTCGGATCACTTCCGACGTCAACAGTTTGTAATTGCTTCATTGTGAACTTTGTGAAACTAGTTTTGCCAAGATCGTGTTGGTTTTAGTAAGCCTTGGCTTATTAAGACCGTGTGTTGTAACTCTTCTTTCCTTTTTATATTAATTAATAAAAAAAACTTGCTTGGACATGTTAGCGGAGTTTTTTCCTGGAACGGGGAGTAATATATCGGGATCGAGCAGCGATGCAAACATTTATGAAACTGTTCAGTGCAGTACAAGGGAGGTTGTGCTCTAATGGAACCGCACCCCCCGTTTGTTGAACAAGCGGAGCAACCTCATCATGTCCTCGTTGGACAGCATCGATGGCCTTTCGTTGTTGAGCCTGGCCGACTGCAATGTTCCGGCAATCCTCTCCTTGAACACCACGAACTCTTCCTCGCTGAAACCACCTTCTCCATTGCAGGGATGTTCGTCATTTTCGCCATCGTCGGCATCGTATTCGTCGTGAGGCGCACCGCGGCCGCTGCTACTGGCATTTCCGATGCGTTCCTCCTCTATTCGAGACAGCCTGAAGAGCTCCATGACCATCTCTTTCTGCTTGAAGATGGTGCCTAGGTTCTTCTCTTTCTTATTTTTCTTCTTCTTCTGCTGCTGCTGGAGCTGGTGCTGTCCGAAGCACACGCGCGCGAACTCCAGCCACTCGTCGAGGCTGATCCCCGGCTCCACCTCGATCCGCGGGGCGGACCTCCTTCATCCGGATCTCGACGAGGGAGGAGTCCACCCCTGGCACGGGCACGAAGTCGGCCTTGCTCACGTCCATGAGCAGGTTCACGTCCGCGACCACGCGCAGGTTGGTCGCCAGGTGGTTGTGCTCCCCGTGGCCCGGCGCCCCCACGAGCCGCCGCGCGAACTCCCTCTGCACCAGCAGCGTCGCCGTCCGGAACCGGTAGGAGCCGAACAGCAGCTTGGCGGTTAGCGGCGAGGAGATCGCGTAGGGGATGTTGGACACGCAGACGTCGAACTCCGGGAAGTCGACCTTCATGGCGTCGCCCGTGGTCACCTGGCAACGGAAAACTAAAGACTCGTCATTTGCTTATGATCATCAGCGTACCCTTTTCCTTTCGGGGCATTGGATCGATCGAATGGGAGGAGGGCGCGCGGGCGGAACCGTGAGCTTGTGCGCGCGGCGACAGCGGTGGCCATGCGCGGGTCGATCTCGACGGCGGCGACGGAGGCGGCAGGGGAGGCGAGGAGGCGCACGGTGAGGTTGCCCGTGCCGGGGCCGACCTCGAGGACGGCGTCGCCCGGGCGGATCACGGCACGGCGCACGATGGCGTCGAGGACGCGCGGGTTGGTGAGAAGGTGCTGCCCCCGCCGCTTCTGCAGCCGGAAGAACGGACCGTCCCACGCCTCCGACGCCGAGGAGGAGTAGAGGCGGCAGCCGTGGCGGGCGGCGCGGCGCGCGGAGACGACGCCGTTCATGTCAAGCCCGGTCCTTATTGGGGCCTCCGGCCTCCCTCGAAGCCAACAGGCACCGACCACTGATGAAGCTTTCGCCTGCCGGCGGTCTTCTGAACCGCAGCGTGGTGGTGCCGGACTTCCCGGTGCCGCGGATTCGTGCTAGTGGCCGACGGTGTTGGTTAATGGTTAGTCGCTCGCTCCGTATAGGGTAGCAATCGACCTGTGCGGCCCGTGCAGGTGCGCGTCGATAAATCGGCCTGGAGCGGGTTCGGCTTCGGCCATTTGTGCGATCGGTCCTGCTCAGCGAGTTCTGGGCTACTAGGCCACTTGGGCCGCATGCTGGGTGTGATCGAATTTATTGTACTGCCTTTTGATTGAAAATTTTCAGCTAAAAAATGCTGAGTTCTGGGCATCAATGCGAAAAGAAGTGGAAAGCATCATTTGTGTGACTGTGTGCAGACAGAGATCATATCCTGGTTCCTTAGCCATTTTGGATTACTAAAAAACAAGATCCAACCTAAGAGATATTAGACGTTTCTTTATTAATTAAGAAGAAAAATAGACATCAAAATTCAAGCCGAGGGAAAACTTCAAACTGGATGATTAGGTGCATGATCATACCTCTTACCTAAACAGCTGAGTTACACTTACTTTCTGCCATTTTGGATTGTTCAAAATGGATGCTAGATGCCAAACTCATCACACCATTGATCAAGAGCAACTCCAATAGAAACCTTTAAATCAGGACCTCAGATTTCAGGGCTCCTCCTATCTTGTTTGAGGCCGTGCTAGAGATCTGTAATGCCTACCTCCTTGACGTCTCTGTTCGCAAGAACATGTCCTCTGCTACTGAACGTGATTTATCCCGGAATTTTAATGGGAATTACTCGTATGCTCTTTTGCAAAAATGGGTCACCGTACTAGTAGTTGTCACCTCCCACTTTCAAAAATGTTGGTGAAAACCGACGGTGAACGCGGTGATAAAGCTTTTACAGTAGAGTGTCTTCTCTTACCTTCACTTAAGAGCATTATGCATGTGCCGACGGCACACAAGGATTTGGAAACAAAAACTAATGGCAGTGAATAGAAGCTATAATTTTGGATGGCATGTAAAAAATGGTTATAACTTTTGACGATATATAAAGGAGTTGTCTCTGGTTGTAAATTCAGGATACCAACATACTGTAGTATCCAGTTCCTGCAGTCCCGTTTAAAAAAGGGACAATTGTGTGTTGGACATTCAAAATGATGGTCCTTTGCTGACGGACACCTACTTTAAAGCATTTTGCCAGAAGACACTCTGGTTCGGTGAAATTAGGCCACAAGACACCGCAGACTGGTTGCAGCCGGTTGGGGAAAGAGAGAACAGCAGTGAAATGACATTCTTGTCCCTGCCGCTTTCTTCTTCCTCTCTCCCTTTCTCTTTTTTTTTCTGTTTCCTGCGCTGCGCCGCCGAAGACACGGTCCACGAGGATGGCGACCGAGCAGGGCGCGCTCTAGAGCACGCGGACGTTGGCTCCACCCGCGCGCGGACACCGCCCCGCGCCCTGCACAACTTCTCGTCGGCGCACACGTACCGACACTCGCACATCACTCCTAGCCTCACCTTCTCCACCACCATCTCCTCCCCAACCAGCTCCACAACCACCTCCGCGTCCAGCTTCACGCAGCCGCTTGGTGGGCGCTGTGAGCGCCTCGCGCATGACCCCCCGCCTCACCTCTCGCCATCAAGGCGGCGGCGCCCGCCGCCTGTTGCCGTCGGCACCTTGGCGTCCATCATTAGGACCGCCGCCGTGGGTTCTGGTCCGCCATGGGCAGTAGTCGTCGTCGCACCGCCGTCCACCGACGCACGCCTCCCGGCCCGATCGCCACGCCCGGTCGCCAAAGTTGACCCGAACAGAACAGCCCGTGGAGTTCTTGGCATGGGCGGCCCTGTCGCATGACGACTAGGAAGGACGGCGATGCTCGCCGCCGCCCGCCGGACGATGTCGACGGCGAAGGAGACATCCGCGAGGGCGAGGCGTAATGGAGTGCGAGTAGCAGACGGACCAGCGTAATGTGAACAACTGAAGAGGCGTCGGTGCGGTGAGGAGGAGCACCGCCGGTCGTCGTCGCTGCCGGCGGCGGCGCTGCTGTCAGTGTCGGGGAGAAGGCCCAACGCGAAGGGGAAGTGCTGAGCCGCGCCTAGATGTAGTCCGCCACGAAGGCGGCGTGCCACGAGGTGGACACGCAGGAGGCCGCCGCGAGGGACGCGGCGTCGAGGAAGAAGGGCGCGACGAGGGGGAGCGCCTCCCACGAGCGCCGCGCCGCATTGCTCGCACCTCGCCCTCGCCGTGCATCTCAGATTGGAAGGCTGGCTGAGCTCGTATTCGTAAGTAGCTCAGTGTTCTCGCGGTCTCGTCGCCTTTACGTGATTGATCCGTGTGCGTCACTGTGCTTTATTCGTAAGTAGCGAGAGACTGAGAACGTATGGACGCCGGAGGACGGGAGGAGTACGACAAGGGATGCGGGCCATGCGGGGAAGGAATGGGTTGCAACGGGAGAAGGCTGTGCGGGGCGCGGGGCGGTGTGCGCGCGCAGGTGGAGCCAACGTCCGCGTGCTCCAAAGCACGCCCTGCTCGGTCGCCATCCTCGTGGACCGCGTCCTCGGCGGCGTGGCGCAGGAAAAAAAGAGAAAGGGAGAGAGGAAGAAGAAAGCGGTAGGGGCAAGAATGTCATTTCACCGCTGTTCTCTCTCTTCAACCGGCTGCAACCGGTCCACGGTGTCCTGTATCTAATTTCACCGAACCAGAGTGTCTCCTGGTAAAATGCTTCAAAGTGAGTGTCCGCCAGTAAAAGATCATCACTTTGGATGTGCAAAGAACAATTGTTGCTTTAAAAAATGGGATGGTTACCGACCTACTGTGCCGCCACCACTTTGGCAAATATTGCTCTGGGCCGCGTTTAGTTCATCAGCCGATTCGGCGCCGCCCAAAAAAGAGGTGTACTGTAGCCACAGTACTATTTTGTTTTTATTCAGTAATAATTGTCCAATCGTTAACTAGTTAGGCTTAAAACGTTCGTCTCGCAGAGTACAACCAAACTGTGTAATTAGTTTTTGATTTCGTCAACATTTAGTACTCCATGCATGTACCGCAAATTTAATGTGACGGGGAATCTTTTTTTACATAGTGTCAAATTTTGCATTCTGGATCAACTAAACGAGGCCCTGATTTTTCCTCTATGCTAGCTGATGAGTATAGGCTGTAGGATGGTCCAATATTCAAATTACAAAGTGCCAAAGTCGCAAGCCTGGAAACACGTGTGTCCAAGTCCGAAGAAATGGTGTTTTTGTCGATTGATGTACGACATGGCGACATCTCACTATCGCAGGCTGAGAGTGCTTCAGTGCTTGAACAATGCTGTTGGAGTACAAATGATAGGGTATATCGTTGATTTAATTCTCGTAAATCCATAATCTCATCCATGAAGTCTTCAACTGGTGTCATTTCCCAATTCCCACAGCTGCAGTTCCGTTTCCGGATTGCAGCTTGAAAATACTTCATAATAATAATTCCGCACACGCGTGACTTCATCACGCGCATACTAAAAGACAAAAAAAAATGCAAATGAACTCACCTGTCGTCGTCACCTTAGATGAAGCAGGTGGTGGTGTTAGGGTTTAGGGTTTTGGGGATTTGTATGCTCTCTGCGCTTTAAAAGGGTCGCCGGGGAGGTTGCTGGACCGGCAGTGGTCGTGGTCGAGACGGCGGCAATGGTCGAGGCGGTGGGAAAGGCCGGTTGGACAGTGCCAGCAGTGGCGGAGCCAGGGGAGCAGGGGCCATGACCCTCCCCCCAATAACAATACATTTTTTTACATATAATATATATAGTTAATGGTCTACGTTAATAATATTTTATTTATTATACTCTTTTAACTAGGTTATTCGGAGCATAAAAAAATAGCTTCTTGTGCTCCACACAGACATAAGCGCTTTCTATGTATAATTGATCTAAAAAAACATAAAGAATCATTTTCAACCACATAATCACTTCTCTTAGAAAATCATTCTCACAAAAAATCAAGAGCAGAAGGAGCTCTACCAAATAGGTCATTGACTGACTTGATAATTATGGGGTCATTAATACATATATTAATATAATATGGATATATACATAATCAATCAAAGTGGCAAATTATCATTTTTTCAATGGTTTCGTTCTTGTACACAGAGGAAAAATAAATTACTACTCCGTTTCAAATTATAACCTGCTTTGACTTTTTTATATAGTTTTGCTTTTGTACCTTATAGATAAATAGCAGAGTTTATGTATAAAACAAAACTTATAATTTAGAATGGAGGATTATTTTATATAGAGAAAAACAAGAAAACACTTTTTTTTTTTTTTTTTTTTTTTTCGGAAAACACAAGTTGGAGTGGAGCAGTATCCCAACTCCCACAGTTTCAGTTCCGTTTCTCCTTGCAGTCTCCCCTTGTTTCTCCCCTTTTCCTTTTTGCCTTTTCCACCCACACCTCTCCGCGGCAGGCGGCGCCACCCCCCGCGCCTCGATCCGGATGGAGCCCGAGAGCGGCGGCGTTGTCCGCCGGAGGCTGCAGAAGACGGAGTCGGCGGAGATGCGGTGGGTGGTCCCGGGCGGCGCCAATGAGGACGACGAGATCGAGAGCTCCGACGACGGCGGCGCCGACACCCCCGCGGCCGCCTCGGGCTCACGGGGCGGCGGGTGCTCCGACGAAGACGACGGCTACGAGGAGGACGAGATGCTGCGCCAGCGCCTCGTGCGCACGGGCCCGCGCGCCGACTCCTTCGACGTCGAGGCGCTCGATGTCCCCGGCGTGTACCGCCACCAGGTCCGCACTCCACCCACTCCCAGTTTCTTTGTTGAACTGCTTGCGGCTCGCAGTGACGGGGAGGTCTCCGTGGTGTTAGCCCGTGTCAGGCTTCGCTCGTGCGGTTTCCCGCTGATTGCTTCCTTGCCGCGACGCGCGATCCAACAATGTTTCTGTGTCAGGCGACTCTGC